TTCAGATTCCTATGAGTCAGACAATAATTCATATTCATTGTTTGGCTTCAAAGATATTCTGAGTGCCTTTCTCCCTGTCACAATAAATTCAAAGACACTGAGTTTTTTAACATCTCACAGAGCATCGTGTTAGAATGTAATTTAGGATTTAGCGGAAAGCTTTGGAGTTAACCAATAGAGTGAATGAGCTATTTTAGGAATCTGGTGGTTAAATGACTGCAATAATTAATTCAAATGTAATGAAGAGAGTTACTCACTTTGCACCCCAAATGCTAGATGAAGAATATGAATCAAAATCAAATGTCCTAGGCTTCCTTCAGTGTCCATACCTTGTGCTTTAGAGCTTGGTTCTGGCTCAATTTTCAAGTCATCAAATACACACACACACACACACACACACACACACACACACACACAAAGAAATCTTCACAATTGAGTGGGTTCTAGCAGAAAGCAAACAAACAAAACTTGCATAACTGTATCCAAACATTCTCTGACAGATTTCCTAGTGACTAAACTCAGACTAGCAATGTATACAATAAACATATTTTCCCCAAACAAAACTCTAATAGTTTCTGCTTAAACCCTCAAAGACATCAGTCACAGCAAAGGCATATTGTATAGTGAATGCAAGCTCCTGCAAAGAAACCCAACTTCAAACTGAAACCTTTCTGCAAGGCTAATTAGAACTAATTAGAACTTCCACAACTGTAAAGAGTTTGGAATGTTACAGGTCCAGAACTTAATTACAATCCATCTTGACTATATTTAGCTATCTAAATAATCATTATTTGCCCAACTCTGTGTCAGACTTAACATCCTGAGAATACCAGACAAAACCTTTTGGACTCTATTAACTTAACAAAAACATAGATTTCATCAATGAAAAGGATAAGTCATCAGATAGCATCCAAAAGACTGATAGCTGAGGGGTTTTTCACATTGCTGTGACCATCTACTTAATGTTTCCATTGTGTAAAATGAGAAAAGATTGTTTTAAAATAAAACATAAAAGTAACTTGATTGATGACCAACATTGTTCTTTTACTATGAAAACTTCACAAAACTGCTTCTACATTAGAATATTGAATCTGGGGTTAACGAAATATGTGTTCCTGGGCAATGGTCATTCATAATTGGCTCTAGAATAAACTGTCTTTCATCCCATTTGACATGAGGGCTGTAATTTGGGGTCCACAATAGTCATCCTTGGATTTATCTCCATTTTCAATTTGTCATGGAAACATTTTGATATGTAATTTCAAAAAACACCAGCATAACTAATGAAACTGCTTATGTGACTGGTTCTATTGTGTAAAAGTCTTGATTAAAGGAAATGAGAAAAACGGGAAACTATTCTTATTGAAGATGCAAGTACCAAGGGGTAGGAATGTTGTTCTTTTCTCTTTTTTTCATTATTTCTGACTCTGCCCTTGTCTACAAAAGTAAAGCAGTTTTTCCAAGCTAAGCAAATTCTCAAAACCTGTACTATATAAAACAAAATGCTTTAAATAAACGAACAGAAAACTTAATATTATACACTGCACAAATCAAAGTCAGAGTTAAATGAAACAGTTTACTTGCATTCAAGTCTTTAATTTCCCATTGGCCAAGGATGCCTACACAGATGATAATAGCTTATTGCTGATATATGTACAGAGGAGTAAAAAGTAAATATTGTTTTCCTTTAGAATATGAGCCAACCAAATTATAGAGACTTTCTGTGCAATCTCACAGAATTCAAATTACAGTAAACACATCCCCCTAAAATAGTTTATATAAGTATATTCAGCTAATCCAAAAGGATATATGTTAATTTCTGTTCCATTTTGTATAGGCACCTGAAAACATTTATTTTTATGCATTGTTAATGTGGTAAGCCTGGGAAATTTAAAAGGAATAAAGTATAGTCTGCTAATGAAAACATGCTTACACACTTACACACATTCTTGTATACTGGAATTGTAGCACAATGAGTTCCCAACACAATTAACTGTTTGACATCAAAGTGGTGTTTAGTTCTGAATGCTGCTGTATAAAATCCTTTTTAAAAAATACTTATGTTTATACTTGATTGAATTTTAAAGGATGAGAAAGATTTCATTATGTAAAGAAAGAAAGTTGGGAAGGAATTTGGAATGAGAGAAGAGGAATGTGAAGCTTCATAGGGAGTCCCAGAAAAGTGCAGATGTTTAAACAGGTACTCAAGGGAGAGACCAAGCCATTAAATCTAAGAGAAATGTCTGGATAGTAACAGTGTATGATGGTCTCAGTCTGTATAATTTTTAAAAACTTGATTTTACTGTAAATACTAGAAATAAAAATGTTCATAAAATAAACAAAACACCTTCCATGCACATGTTTACATTTTCAAGGTCTGCCTAATTAACAGCAAACTTTGTTATGGAAAACAGATGTTTTGGCCAGTTAGTGTGCACTGTGTCTGAGTGCGTGCTATTTGGAGCTCTGCCTTGCATCACATATCTCTTACAGCACTGGTTTTATCTATGTATTTTATTATATTGGGGCAGAACACTTAATGAATGGCATAAATTTCCCTGAAGCACTAACTAGCAGCAGCAAGTTGGTGTTAATATCACTCTGAACAGTCATTTTCATAATCTCTCATTAGGAAATTACATTTCACAAATGGCAAAAGTTTGGAGGAAATGAAAGTAAAATGGGACTAGAAATGTGAAAACCCATGAGGGATTTCTGGGTAAAGAGCATTCATGTCCTACTATTTTCTTAATTTTAAGCACACACTTTTATTTATGATACATATTAGGATGCTCAGTTGAGAGGACTGAACTAACTATAAAACTACAAATTTGACATTCTCATAGAATAAAGTAATTCCCCAGTATTCGTACATGATAGCAATGTTCTATAATGCAGGTAAGTGATTCTAGTAGTCTAAACAGGCCATTCTGCTTTTAATCACAGTAATATCTGCTTACTAAATAATATAAAATTATGGATTTTGAAAAATAAAACAAGAGTATTCAGTAAGATATGTTAGAGAATACTCAAGTGTTCATTCTATGTTAAGCAATGTATTACAAGCACTTACATGATATGATTAACTTTCAAACCACCTAGGAGACACTAGGAATATCAAAAATCAGCAATTGAAGAAATGTACCTAGAAACACCATGTTATTTGCCTTGTGAAAAAGAAAAAAGACATATAAAGAGGTAATGTAAAAAAGACTTCAATAAAATCAGTGTTAGGAACAAAGGTGCAGAGAATAGAAAATCAAGGCTCCCAAAGCAAACAAACAAAATGCCTTACTATATAAATAGTAAAGTACTTAAACATATACCTCATCAAAGATAACGGCAAAGAAGCACAGGGTAACACACTGTCATTTAATTATCTTGAGGACACAAAAACACAATATAATGTACACCTATCACAATGACTATAATCTTTTTAAATTTAAACAAAATGAAAATGCCAGGGGGTAGCAAGCATCAAGAGGAACTTGGACTCAGCATGTAAAAAAAAAAGTCATGGCATGAGAACTTTGAGGAAAGTTTGCAATTTGTAAACAATTAAATACATACCATATTATCTGACCACTTTAGTATAATTTATTTACCCAAGAGAAAACATATGAACTCACAAACACCTATGCAGACGAGTCAATCACAGCTTGATTTTAATAGACTAAACTATATCCAATGAAACTATTCATCAGCATGTAAGGCAAGTTGGGCTTAATCTTTGTAATGTTATGCAGCAATAAAAATAAACTACAGTATCGGTATACTCCCGCATAAACAGACTTTATTATTCTGGGTGGAAGACACTAAGCTTTGAGCCTGGTGTTAGTTACAGTATGGAGGGCATTAGAAAAGACAAAGTAACCTGCGGAGTGAGGTAAAGCAGATCTGTGTGTGTTAGGAGTGAGACTAGACAGGAGGAGTCAGAATTAGGAAGTGCGAGAGGACACAGACACAGTGACAAACGTGGTCATTGTCTGGGGTTAGCTGGTGCTTTCACAGATGTTGAACTGGAACTGTGACAAACACCTGAAATTTCATGAGTCAATTAGTCTCAGATAAATCTTTTTAAATATTTATGCATGTCTCTATGAAGGTTTTTTGTTATTTTGTTTTTTGCTATCATCTTGATCAGTGAGAATCATCACCCACATTTACCAACAGCTATCCCTAGGGAGAGAAAGAATTGGAGTTTGCTTTTGTTTTGTTTTGTTTTTTTTATTAGTTAATTTTCATTTTCTTAATATCCCAAAACAATTTTTAATCATTTACTTAAGAATGAATGTTCTTCCCTGAGGATATTGGTGACATGTGCCTGTACAGCTCTTGGGAGATGGGAGGCAGAAAGAGACAGAATTCAACGCCAGCTTTGACTACAGAAAACAACCACTAAATCTTCTTCAGAATTTAGGGTTCTTTGAAAAATACATCTATCTCTACATTAACAAAAGAATAGAGTAAAAACAAGCTTAGAGCCACAATGTACTCTACTTTTTTAAAGTATGACTTCTTTACAAGAAAGGTAAGTTCTGTGTTGAGAAAAAACAATGCACTTTAAAAGCAGTCTACTCCAGTTGAGAAGTTGTCCATTACGCTGGTAACTATTTCCCTACTTAAGTTTGTCAAAATAACCAGGAGTCATTTGTAACACTTTGCATATGAAGATTTACTGTGGCTTCCTTGCCCTTAGGTTCTTAGACAGGAAAAGATTAGTGAACAGAGACAAGAGACAGCTCAGTCCTTTCTTTGGTGAGTCACTGAGCCTACTCGTAATAACAGAATTTTAATTAGGTAAACGAATCAACTACACGCTACCAGAATCTTATGTTAGTCATTCAGCATGTTTTTGTAAATGGTATCACATGTGTCCCTTTTTTCGAGGTCTCAGTGCCACACTCATGCCTACCGGACAAATGACAGTTACACAGCATCGGCGGCCAAGATCTCTTAGAACTCCGCATCGTGGAAGAGAAGGGCCGTGTGACGCAGAGGTCATTGCTAAGGCTGCGTTCTCATTTAGACGTGACTATCAGCAGCAGACCTTGTGCCGAGCTTTCTTGGCCTCAGTTTCCCCTACTTTCAAACAAGAGGAGTCATGCTGTCCTGTTTCTGGTTCTTCTCCAAGCACATCGGCCCTGCATTGATGTCCCTGCCCCGTGTGCTACACAGATGCACTGTCCCACCGTGTTTGGCAGCCAGGTATCCTTTAGGTACCATACCAGTCTCCCCTCGACGTCTGCTGGCCTCTGTGGCCTCCTCCCAAGGCTCTGCTGGGCCTGCCAGGGTGCGCCAGAACTTTCACCCGGACTCTGAGGCAGCCATCAACCGCCAAATCAACATGGAGCTGTACGCATCCTACGTGTACCTGTCCATGGCCTACTACTTCTCCAGGGATGATGTGGCCTTGTACAACTTCTCCAAGTATTTCCTTCGGCAGTCCCTGGAGGAGAGGGAGCATGCAGAGAAGCTAATGAGGCTGCAGAACCAACGCGGAGGCCGGATCTGCCTCCAGGATATCAAGAAGCCAGACCAAGATGACTGGGAGAGCGGACTGCGGGCCATGGAATGTGCTCTGCTCCTGGAAAAGAGCGTAAACCAGTCGCTGCTGGACCTGCATACTCTGGCCTCAGAAAAAGGAGATCCTCATTTGTGCGACTTTCTGGAAACCCACTACCTGAATGAGCAGGTGAAGTCTATCAAAGAATTAGGTGACCATGTGCACAACTTAGTCACCATGGGGGCTCCAGCTGCTGGCCTAGCGGAGTATCTTTTTGACAAGCACACCCTTGGAAGTGAGAGCAAGCACTAAGGCAGAGGCTGCCTTTCCAGTACCCTAGTGAGTCCCAAGACCTGGAGTTAGCGGTTGCCTGCTTTCTTGCCCTTAAAATTCAACTCTGTCTTTACATTCTCTTTTTTGGACTATTCTGCCAGTGTTTTGTAGAGATAATTTGCTCACCCCGGTATTAACCACAGCTTTCTGCCCACGCCAAAATACTAATATTTTCCCAGCCTAAAAGATAGCCCAAAATACTATGGTATAAAAAGGATGGAAAACACAACACTGAAATTAGATACAAGATCATGCTCTTAGAATGTTATTAAATGTTGTTCCTAACCATGAACCTTAATCGAAATTCCATAATTTTCAATTCAACAATCTGTTCTGTATTCGAGATCTTATGCACAATGCTCAGGCAGGAAAATATGCAATCTATAATATAGTATAATATAATATAATATATAAATAACCCTAAAACAGAGAAGATGTAGAGTACTATGAAAATCACACGTGCAAATTTTTTGACAACTATTCTATTTTCCCAGTGTGTTATAAGAAATGGCAATGTATGGAGATGACCTGGGTTTTTTTCTTTTTAAACTTTCATGTCAAATTTGGCATTAGCTACATTGGGTATCAGTGGTGGTATTGGGCAGCTTAAGTGGATTCACATTTTAAGGGTTCTGAGAAGTCTTTTAATTAAACACACAAAAAACAAAATCAAAAATGTGCTTTTCTGTTTCAGTGTTTGTCAATCGTATACTATCTATAGGTAGAGTGATTTAGGTTTGTTTTATTATTGTGTTGTTGTTTTTTTGTGGGGACAGGGGAGGGTGTCTTTAAAGAATGAACTGCAATATAACAGAGTAAGCTTGCTTGGTTTCAGACTCTATACCAGACTCTAGCCACAAGGTTGTATAGCCTCCCTTTCAATATAACTGAGAGGGAAAAACCTCTCATAAAATGCATTTTTAGGGTATTTAGAATGGGAAAGAAAGAACAGTGGAGCAGAGACGTCAAGAAGGGATCCAGAATGATGACAGCTTCCTACTGGGCAAAGGATTTTGTTGTTTTTGATTTTGGTTTGTTTGGGTTTTTTGTTATGGTGGTTTTTTGTTTTGGTTTCGTTTTTTGTTTGTTTGTTGTTTGGTTGACTGGTTGGCTGGCTTGTTGCTTGGTTGATTCGTTGATTGGTTGGTTGGTTGGCTAGTTGGCTGGTTGGCTGGCTAGTTGGCTGGCTGATTGGCAGGTTTTTATTTGGGGGGAAGGGGGGAGGTGAGAGGGAGATGTTTGGGGAACAGATATTGGAGTCTATTAGAGAACTATCTGATGGATAGGAAAAAATATGTGGATGTAAGGAGCACAGGATGGATGAATGAAGTCACTACAGGTGTGGTAAAAGGAAATACCTCCCAAGATTCCAGTCGAGAAATGTTTAAAACATTGAACACTCAGAAGATTAACCTGAAAACCACAGGAAGGTCTATTGTTAGTTTGAGTCATCTGAGACACAGACGACAAGAAATTGGTGTACAAGAAGCTAGGGAAAGCTGGAAGAAAATGAGGGAAAGAATTGTGCATTGACTCTTACAGGAAGGTCTTAAAACTTATAATCTTGCATTAGACTTCTTATAAGTCTGGTTCTCAGGGAGAGAAAGTAAAGTGTTGGGAGTTGTTTTATGGAAACTGGTCATTCCGTGGATATATGTACAGGGTTATCAAGCAAAAGGTCATTAGAAGAAATTCAGTAGCCCAGACATTGGCCTGCCTACATTCCTTTCTAGTATATTCACTGATTGACTAAATTCCCAATGTACTCAGTGATTTATGAATAAGAAGGATGGGCTCTTAGACACAACACCAATGTTTCCAGGGAAACACCATACATAGGATACCATGGCAGCTGCTGTTAAATCCAACTTTGCTAAACACATTCTGATGTGGTCTTAAATTCATAACGTATTATTTTAGAAGCAAGTTGTGTTACATGGCAGGGTTACATTACATGAGTCTAAGTATATAGAAAGAATTACAGAAAATGTTGAATAATAGATATTAACATGACTGTAAATATATATATTTACATCAAGTTTAGCTGGAGTCTCTTTTAAAGTGATATTTTAAGTGCGCAATTTAAAAACTAATCTGTATTTCAAGACAAATTTCTTATGGAGATCTATCATTGTCAGAAGAAAAAACAAACTATAAGATGAAGAGAAAGGCAAAAAAGTTCAAACAGAATACAAACAAATTGATGCTAGTGAGAATTCAGAGGTGAAATCACTTAAATTTTGTGATCTGATCCATTCAATGAAAAAGGTTACAAAAACAGGATATGGAAAGAAAACTGATGTGTCTCGAGTCTGTTACTGGAAATTGTGGGACTTAAACAGCACTCTCAGCAGGAGAGCTAAGGAGAGGAGAGGAGTGTGTGATGGTGCAGGTCTGCTTGCAATGATTATGTTCGTTTTCCATTTTATTCTGAAGTAGTCTGTTTTGCTGCACAGACATCCTATTATACGTCTTTAGCAAATTTCCTCTTCAGTTTTTCTAGATGAGTGTTTTTCAAACAGCACACCCATTAGTGAGATAGGTTAGTGAGTCACTATCCACTTTGTGAACAAAATAGAATAGAAGTGAATGTTGTGAAGTAAGGATATCGTCCAATGATAATTGCTTCTGGTGTGTGCACATGTATCCTCATGCATTTATGTCTTAGAGAGTGACATTTCTTACTCTGTTGTTGTCATGGGTATTCAACAGCTATTCTTTTGGATAATTATTTCACAGTCTCTTAGCTCCTCAAATCTCCCAATCCCCTTTCCCTACTGTCAGTGGTAATCTTTTTACTCAGAGAGAAATTAGAAGTAATTGCAAGAAATTTTCATACCGTCCCTGCACTGAATGAATCATACCTTTACATTTGTATGCACTTGTTATGCTTTCAGTTAGGCTACAAGGGTTGAAGCAAGCAGCCCCAGCAGGTCCACAGAACCCCAGGATATGGGATGCCTAAGCTGCATAGATTTCTCATCTTCATTAGTTGATTCCCATGAGAATATAAAATGTCATTGTTTTTCTTTAACAAATAGCACCACCCTTAGACTCAGAATACTTCTAGAAAATAGCAAAGCACCATCCTGTATCCATCCCCTTGATGACATTCCTTACAAGATGTACTTCTCTTCTCTACTATGCTCTCAACTGCTCATTTCCAAGTTCAGTTTCACAGTATTTTATGTCTCTGTCAAAGTCACGTGGGTTCTGTGTTTATAAAGTCGTTTTTCCAGCCGCCTCTTCTTCAGCATGAGCAGTGCTGTGACCACTCACTGTTACAAATCTCAGCCACCCTTTCTAACTCCATCATTCCCTCTTGACTTTTAAACCTTGACCCATGCTGGTGTACTATCCTTGCATCTAGATTCTCATATGTATCTGCATTTGTTTCCTGAAGATTTCACCAAACCAGATGAATTTTACTTAATTGTAAATCACATACGTATATAAAAATTCTCCACCTTTGATACCTGGGATTTCATACCAAATATTTGACACTTTTCTTCAGATATATATCAGACATCTCATGATTGATCCATTTAAAGCAAAATTCTTGATTCCCTTGCCCTCCAAAACTTGTATAGTCCCATCTTTTTCCTCCTGTAAGTACAAGTCCATTCTACTGCTTTCTATGATCTATCCATATCTGACACCACACTTTCTTTCCATATTATAGTTCAGAACACTGGTGAGTTCTTTCAATACAACTTCCTAAAGCTTTCGTTTTCTATAAGCTCTGATCATTTCCTGTACTGTTATATTTTATAGCACACCCTTAACAGTTCTGATTGTATCTATTTTTGTGTGCATGGACTTGTTTCTCCACAAATCAGTCAGTGTGGGTTTTGTTTTATTTAGTCCATCCTTAATACTTCTCAGAAATCTTTAATGATTCCCACAATTTAGAAAAAAAGTCAAGTCATGTTGTATAGCATGTCTCACATAGCACTGTGCAATTTCAGCACATAACCATCTTGACCAGATGTACTTTGTGTGTATTTATGAATGTTTGTAATAAATGCTAAGACTTGAGAGACTGTGTGTGTGTGTGTGTGTTAAGTTTCAAGAGTTAACTATCACTATTCCTGAATGCTGTGATATTATAGCTCTATAATTAGCAGGAGTAAAATGGAAGAGAAAGGGGAAGATGAGGAAGGAAGAAGGAGGGGAGGGTTTTAGGGGAGAAAGAATGCCTTTTTGTCAGTATCCCAGATATATTTGTCCCCACTGATCCCTGCACTTCAAATCTGTTCCCTCTGTGATGAATGCTTTACCACTGAAAGCAAATGTAAGTTGCACTCTGGCTCCATTTATATCACTGATGGCCAAGGTACAGACTTCATGATCATCCATTCTAATTTAGTCACTATCTCTTCCATTACTTGGTCCCTCTCCTTTGATTTTGTTTTCTCGATGACATTTATCACCACCTGACACATTTTTGGTTTGCTTAGGATTTCTTCTCTCACTAGGAGTCAAATTCCCTTGGCCAGACCTGAAGAAGACCTACCCGCCTGCTAGTTGGTCCAAAATGATAGCGAATGAGTGAATAATTAAAATATCCTGAAACTAGGTAAAAGTACTAATCCATACTTTTAGAAAACTTGGGCTTAAAACTCATGTTTGAAATTCCAATAATTTTTAAAAAATAAATGAATATTAGGGGAAATGTTAATATTGGAAAAGGTGATCTGGAAGGCTCTCGGGGCACTATCACTAATTAGTAGTACTACTATTACTACCCAAAAGAAAGGAAAACAAGAGATAGGCCCAGATACAGAAACTGGGTAGATTCTAGATTTAGAGCAGACTGGACTTTAAAATCTTTGAAAAGATTCAGGAACAGAACATAAAAATATAAACGGAAACAATAATTTTAAAATGCAGCACTGATCTTGGAGCCATGAAGAGAGTTCCTCTCAGATGTGTCACAGTTTACTGTGCCTGTCGATGAAGAGGCCGTCAGAGCTGGTGATCGGAAAGTCAATAGCTATTTCAGAGCAATGCCTTTCAGAATTGTGGAGGCAGAATGTCAAATCAGATTAAAGGAAACGAGGCGGAAATATGGAACTCTTTTTCAAAGGTTTTTTTTTTCCTCTTTAATCAAAAGCACAAGAGGAAGATGACTGCAAATGTTCTTAGAAAATAAGTCAACAGAAAGGAGAGGCTTGAGAAACAAACAATAGAGCAGGGTTCTAGGAAGAGTGGCATCTAAGATCAAAGCTCAGACATGACCTGGAAGGATTTGTCCTCAGAAACCAGCAAGTTTGGAAGAGGGAAAAAATGGCTGAGTGTCCTTAGAGAAGAAGGAAAATTGAGAGTTCTTGTCTTTGCGGTGCTAGGTTGTCTAACTAAAATAGCAAACAAGATCACTTATGGCAACATGATGATCTATGAAGAAATGCTTCTGTTAACTCTATTCATAACAATTAAACATTGTAACCAAACAAATTATTTTATAAATATGAAGTTTTTGCCCCATGTCTAATTAAAACCTGGGGATTTCAATACATAAAATACTGCACCCATGTTAGATGGTGGATTAAAAGCTACCTATGTGTGGTGTAATGAATGAGAAAACTCAGGATAACAGAAAACAAAGCTCCCCCCGCCTGCAAATTTCTTTTCCAAAGAGAGAAAATGAGAA